ACATTTTGCCCAAACCTCCCGGCAGTTTTTAAAATATCCCAAACATCCCAAATTCGGTACCTGAGCCATATTTTGGAGCCAAATTCTGTCTCTCTGCACGTATTCGCAGTTTGAAATTCCGACTTTTTGTACAGAAAATATGCCAGTTACTGAAAGCGGCGGTGGGTCACATTTTGCCCAAACCCCCCGGCAGTTTTTAAAATATCCCAAACATCTAAATTTCGGTACCTGACCCATATTTTGGGGCCAAATTCTGGCTCTCTGCACATATTCCCGGTACGAAATTCTGACTTTTTTTTACCGAAAATATGCCAATTACTGAAAGCGGCGGCGGGTCACATTTTGCCCAAACCCCCCTGCAGTTTTCAAAATATCCCAAACATCCCAAATTCGATACCTGAGCCATATTTTGGAGTCAAATTCTGGCTCTCTGCACGTATTTGCAGTTTGAAATTTCGAATTTTTGTACCGAAAATATGCCAGTTACTGAAAGTGGCGGTGGGTCACATTTTTCCCAAACCCCCCTGCAGTTTTTAAAATATCCTAAACATCCCAAATTCGGTACCTGAGCCATATTTTGGAGCCAAATTCTGGCTCTCTGCACGTATTCGCTGTCTGAAATTCCGACTTTTTATACCGAAAATATGCCAATTACTGAAAGCAGCGGTGGGTCACATTTTGCCCAAACCCCCCGGCAGTTTTTAAAATATCCCAAACATCCCAAATTCGGTACCTGATCCATATTTTGGAGCCAAATTCTGGCTCTCTGCACGTATTCGCAGTTTGAAATTCCGACTTTTTATACCGAAAAAATGCCAATTACTGAAAGCGACGGTGGGTCACATTTTGCCCAAACCCCCCTGCAGTTTTTAAAACATCCCAAACATCCCAAATTCGATACCTGAGCCATATTTTGGGGCCAAATTCTGGCTCTCTGTACATATTCCCGGTACGAAATTCCGACTTTTTTTTACCGAAAATATGCCAATTACTGAAAGCGGCGGTGGGTCACATTTTGCCCAAACCCCCCTGCAGTTTTCAAAATATCCCAAACATCCCAAATTCGATAACTGATCCATATTTTGGAGCCAATTTCTGGCTCTCTGCACGTATTCGCAGTACGAAATTCCGACTTTTTTTACCGAAAATATGCCAATTACTGAAAGAGGCGGTGGGTCACATTTTGCCCAAACCCCCCGGCAGTTTTTAAAATATCCCAAACATCCCAAATTCGGTACCTGAGCCATATTTTGGAGCCAAATTCTGGCTCTCTGCACGTATTCGCAGTTTGAAATTCCGACTTTTTATACCGAAAAAATGCCAATTACTGAAAGCGACGGTGGGTCACATTTTGCCCAAACCCCCCTGCAGTTTTTAAAACATCCCAAACATCCCAAATTCGATACCTGAGCCATATTTTGGGGCCAAATTCTGGCTCTCTGCACATATTCCCGGTACGAAATTCCGACTTTTTTTTACCGAAAATATGCCAATTACTGAAAGCGGCGGCGGGTCACATTTTGCCCAAACCCCCCTGCAGTTTTCAAAATATCCCAAACATCCCAAATTCGATACCTGAGCCATATTTTGGAGTCAATTTCTGGCTCTCTGCACGTATTTGCAGTTTGAAATTTCGACTTCTTATACCGAAAATATGCCAATTACTGAAATCGGCGGTGGGTCACATTTTGCCCAAACCCCCCTGCAGTTTTCAAAATATCCCAATTAATCCAAATTCGATACCCAAGCCATATTTTGGAGCCAAATTCTGGCTCTCTGCACGTATTCGCAGTTTGAAATTCCGACTTTTTATACCGAAAATATGCCAATTACTGAAAGCACCGGTGGGTCACATTTTGCCCAAACCCCTCTGCAATTTTCAAAATATCCCAAACATCCTAAATTCGATACCCGAGTCATATTTTGGAGCCAAATTCTGACTCTCTGCACGTATTTGCAGTTTGAAATTCCGACTTTTTATACCGAAAATATGCCAATTACTGAAAGCGGCGGTGGGTCACATTTTGGCCAAACCCCCCGGCAGTTTTTAAAATATCCCAAACATCCCAAATTCGATGCCTGAGCCTTATTTTGAGGCCAAATTCTGGCTCTCTGCACATATTCGCTGTACGAAATTCCGACTTTTTATACAGAAAATATGCCAATTACTGAAAGCGGCGATGGGTCACATTTTGCCCAAACCCCCCAGCAGTTTTCAAAATATCCCAAACATCTCAAATTCCATACCTGAGCCATATTTTGGAGCCAAATTCTGGCTATCTGCACCTATTCGCAGTTTGAAATTCCGACTTTTTATACTGAAAATATGCCAATTACTGAAAGCGGCGGTGGGTCACATTTTGCCCAAACACCCCGGCAGTTTTTAAAATATCCTAAACATCCCAAATTCGGTACCTGAGCCATATTTTGGAGCCAAATTCTGGCTCTCTGCACGTATTCGCTGTCTGAAATTCCGACTTTTTATACCGAAAATATGCCAATTACTGAAAGCAGCGGTGGGTCACATTTTTCCCAAACCCCCCCTGCAGTTTTTAAAATATCCTAAACATCCCAAATTCGGTACCTGAGCCATATTTTGGAGCCAAATTCTGGCTCTCTGCACGTATTCGCAGTTTGAAATTCCGACTTTTTGTACCGAAAATATGCCAATTACTGAAAGTGGCGGTGGGTCACATTTTGCCCAAACCCACCTGCAGTTTTTAAAATATCCTAAACATCCCAAATTCGATAACTGATCCATATTTTGGAGCCAAATTCTGGCTCTCTGCACGTATTCGCAGTTTGAAATTCCGACTTTTTATACAGAAAATATGCCAATTACTGAAAGCGGCGGTGGGTCACATTTTGCCCAAAACCCCCGGCAGTTTTTAAAATATCCCAAACATCCCAAATTCGGTACCTGAGCCATATTTTGGAGCCAAATTCTGGCTCTCTGCACGTATTCGCAGTTTGAAATTCCGACTTTTTATACCGAAAATATGCCAATTACTGAAAGCAGCGGTGGGTCACATTTTGCCCAAACCCCCCGGCAGTTTTTAAAATATCCCAAACATCCCAAATTCGATAACTGATCCATATTTTGGAGCCAAATTCTGGCTCTCTGCACGTATTCGCAGTACGAAATTCCGACTTTTTTTTACCGAAAATATGCCAATTACTGAAAGAGGCGGTGGGTCACATTTTGCCCAAACCCCCCGGCAGTTTTTAAAATATCCCAAACATCCCAAATTCGGTACCTGAGCCATATTTTGGAGCCAAATTCTGGCTCTCTGCACGTATTCGCAGTTTGAAATTCCGACTTTTTATACCGAAAAAATGCCAATTACTGAAAGCGACGGTGGGTCACATTTTGCCCAAACCCCCCTGCAGTTTTTAAAACATCCCAAACATCCCAAATTCGATACCTGAGCCATATTTTGGGGCCAAATTCTGGCTCTCTGCACATATTCCCGGTACGAAATTCCGACTTTTTTTTACCGAAAATATGCCAATTACTGAAAGAGGCGGTGGGTCACATTTTGCCCAAACCCCCCGGCAGTTTTCAAAATATCCCAATTAATCCAAATTCGATACCCAAGCCATATTTTGGAGCCAAATTCTGGCTCTCTGCACGTATTCGCAGTTTGAAATTCCGACTTTTTATACCGAAAATATGCCACTTACTGAAAGCTATAATTGGTCACAATTTGCCCAAACCCCCCTGCAGTTTTCAAAATATCCCAAACATCCCAAATTCGAGATGTTATCTTGGGTCCTCAGTGAGGCTCCTGAGTGTCTTTTGAATGCAGCTGAAGTGAGCAGTTTGTGCAACACTGAAACTTGGTTACAAATGAAAAAAAAAATGTCTACCATCCCCCCCCCCATCATTCAGATCACCCCCCCCCCGCCCCTCCTTCCACCGTGTTCTTCAGGGAGGTTCTAATAGCATTTACCTATTGTTGAAAAGCTTCTTGTAAGGCCGGTCGGCCGAGCGGACAGCACGCTGGACTTGTGATCCTGTGGTCCCGGGTTCGATCCCAGGCGCCGGCGAGAAACAATGGGCAGAGTTTCTTTCACCCTATGCCCCTGTTACCTAGCAGTAAAATAGGTACCTGAGTGTTAGTCAGCTGTCACGGGCTGCTTCCTGGGGGTGGAGGCCTGGTCGAGGACCGGGCCGCGGGGACACTAAAAAGCCCCGAAATCATCTCAAGATAACCTCAAGATAAGACACTTGATTCAAATCGCTTGGAATATTGTGTGAAAATTTTACAAGTTCTCAACCATTATATTTTGTTCAACACGGAAACTGTTTTTGGTTAAACAGCGATGAATTTACATATTATATCACAATTTAAATGAAATTCAATGATTTGTTATCGCTTGTAACGTGTGTCCATTTCACCCAAAAATACATAAAATTGGAAACTCTTAATGTTCGCTAAACGGGAACATCTTCATCTTATTTCTCTTAGAATCTTAATCTTAATCTTAATCTAATCTTAGAATTCTTAATCTAATGTAATTGTCTGTAAGTCCGTGTAAATACATCACCCCTCGTCAGCTTTGTCCAAGAACACGGTCTAAATAATTATCAAAACAAGGCACCAAGCCTTAAGAAGACTATTTACCAGTTTGCAATCTGTGTCGTACGAGAACATGATAATATCGTTTGTGAATGATGGACCAGACCCACGCACTAGAAGGTGAAGGGACGACGACGTTTCGGTCCGTCCTGGACCATTCTCAAGTCTATTGTCGAATGGTCCAGGACGGACCGGAACTACTAACACTAGAAGGTGAAGGGACGACGACGTTTCGGTCCATCCTGGACCATTCTCAAGTCGACTATGAGAATAACTTCCTCACAATCGACTTCCGAACGGTCCAGGACGGACCGAAACGTCATCGTCCCTTCACCATCTAGTATGTGGTCTGGTCAACATACTTCAGCCACGTTATTGTGACTCATCGCCTACATTTACGAATGATTGTTGCCAAACCTGTGATACTCTCGCTCACTCTGGTGACCATACGAGGTGGTGACAGGAGCGCCGTGGGCCTGCTGGCGCCAGGAAGGGTCTGGCGATCTGACATCCATATTCCCGCCTCCATAATGGCCGCCACTGGCTGGGGGCGACGCCCCTGAATCCTCCGGTGGGTCCACCTTCTCCCCTGGCCAGCTGCTGCTAGACGAGTCCATCTGCGTCTCCACCGGCAGGGGACTCACTGGGCCGTCCTCTGGTGACACAAGTTTGTAACCATTGTAACATCTATATGATTGGTATTTATTATTTTACGGACCGGGCCAGATTCACGAAGCAGTTACGCAAGCACTTACGAACCTGGGGCCAGATTCACGAAGCAGTTACGCAAGCACTTACGAACCTGGGGCCAGATTCACGAAGCAGTTATGCAAGCACTTACGAACCTGGGGCCAGATTCACGAAGCAGTTACGCAAGCACTTACGAACCTGGGGCCAGATTCACGAAGTAGTTACGCAAGCACTTACGAACCTGGGGCCAGATTCACGAAGCAGTTACGCAAGCACTTACGAACCTGGGGCCAGATTCACGAAGCAGTTACGCAAGCACTTACGAACCTGGGGCCAGATTCACGAAGCAGTTACGCAAGCACTTACGAACCTGGGGCCAGATTCACGAAGCAGTTACGCAAGCACTTACGAACCTGGGGCCAGATTCACGAAGCAGTTACGCAAGCACTTACGAACCTGGGGCCAGATTCACGAAGCAGTTACGCAAGCACTTATGAACCTGGGGCCAGTTTCACGAAGCAGTTACGCAAGCACTTATGAACCTGTCCATCTTTTCCCAATCTTTGGCGGCTTTGTTTACAATTATTAAACAGTTAATGAGCTCCGAAGCACCAGGAGGCTGTTTATAACAATAACAACAGTTGATTGGCAAGTTTTCATGCTTGTAAACTGTTTAATAACTGTAACCAAAGCCGTCAAAGATTGAGGAAAGATGTACACGTTCCTAAGTGCTTGCGTAACTGCTTCGTGAATCTGGCCCCCAGGTTCGTAAGTGCTTGCGTAACTGCTTCGTGAATATGACCTCAGGTTCGTAAGTGCTTGCATAACTGCTTCGTGAATCTGGCCCGAGGGTGCAGTAGAGTTCGTTCCCAACTCACAATCGCGAATTCCGGGTTCGAATCCCGAGAGGGACAGCAGCCAGCCCGTCCTCGCATACAAAGACCCAAAGACCATTCCATCCACCCGCCAAACCCCTTAGCTGTTTACGAATGAAAAACAGTTTCCACACGACTCACAACTGCTGCCGTTCGAACACTTCCGGAACAAGTGCTTCACTGACGACTTGTGTTCGAACCACAACGCTGTAAATGCTTCACCCACGTACTACAAATACCAATACTCGCCAACAGAACCTAAACACCTAACCTAACCTATGCCTATATATGCACAATATGCTAATATATTATAATATTAATTTATACTTGAGAAAATTTATATTTTGAATAAACAGCATGTTAGAGTTAATGAATGAGTGAACAAATCCACAAGGGCCGTGACGAGGATTCGAACCTGCGTCCGGGAGCATCCCAGACACTGCCTTAACCGACTGAGCTACGACAGGGTAAAAAAAAAAGAGTTGAAACCGAAGTTCTACTGAACTTACTGGATCCTGCAGCCTCTCCGAGACACAAACCAGGGTTTTACACAACTCCCCCCTGCACTCGAGCTATGTTAATAGGCCGTTCTCCCTCTTCTGTCGATTAAGTCGACTAGTCGACTATGCTCCCGAACGCAGGTTCGAATCCTCGTCACGGCCCTTGTGGATTTGTTCATTTGATGCATTACGTTAGTGTGATCTCTGTCCGTGTAATTAATGAATGAGTCTTTGGGGTCAACCGCTGGATGGAATGACTTAGTCTGAGGATGGGTTACTATAATACTGAACCTTTTAGGCACGAAAGTGTATATTAACCAAGGTCATTAATCACCTGCCGCTACAAGACCAGGGGCAGATTCACGAAGCAGTTACGAACCTGGTGCCAGATTCACGAAGCACTTACGAACCTGGTACCAGATTCACTTAGCACTTACGAACCTGGTGCCAGATTCACGAAGCACTTACGAACCTGGTACCAGATTCACGAAGCACTTACGAACCTGGTGCCAGATTCACGAAGCACTTACGCAAGCACTTACGAACCTGGGGTCAGATTCACGAAGCAGTTACGCAAGTACTTACGAACCTGGGGGCCAGATTCACGAAGCAGTTACGCAAGCACTTACGAACGTGTACATCTTTCCTCAATCTTTGACGGCTTTGGTTACATTTATTAAACAGTTTACAAGCATGAAAACTTGCCAATCAACTGTTGTTATTGTTATAAACAGCCTCCTGGTGCTTCGGAGCTCATTAACTGTTTAATAATTGTAAACAAAGCCGCCAAAGATTGAGAAAAGATGGACAGGTTCGAAAGTGCTTGCGTAACTGCTTCCTGAATCTGGCCCCCAGGTTCGTAAGTGCTTGCGTAACTGCTTTCGTGAATCTGGCCCCAGGTTCGCAAGTGCTTGCGTAACTGCTTCGTGAATCTAACCCCCAGGTTCGTAAGTGCTTGCGTAACTGCTTCGTGAATCTGGCCCCCAGGTTCGTAAGTGCTTGCGTAACTGCTTTCGTGAATCTGGCCCCAGGTTCGCAAGTGCTTGCGTAACTGCTTCGTGAATCTAACCCCCAGGTTCGTAAGTGCTTGCGGAACTGCTTCGTGAATCTAACCCCAGAGTAAAAGTACAAGCAAGCCACAATAAGCAGGGTGGACATACCTGGGTTGGCGTTGATGCATAAGCCAGGCGAGGGAGAGGAACGAACGCCGCCAGGTGAACTGGAACGAGCGTAGGCGGCGTCGGGGGACGCCGAGCCGGCGTCCGCCGCCAGGTGAGGGTCGGGGCTAGTAGCAGCGGACTCCCTAGCCATGAAGTCCTCATGCTGCTCTCTCTTGATGATTGTAAGGAGCGGAGTGAGGAGACTATCCGTCTGGCCCTGCTCCTCACACCTCATCCTCGGCCCCGTGGTTGCTGGGGCCCGGTCCTCACACCTCATCCTCGGCCCCATGCCCGCAGGGGCCCGGTCCTCATCCGCGCCGCCGCTATCCACCTCCAAATTACAAATTCTATCAACATGCGCTACACATATTAGACATGTATTCAATAACTTAATCTAATGTGCATTGACATGAAATATTTCCGTCAATAATGGTGAGGCCTTCAACAAGCCGCCGGCTTCCTGTCCTCGTCGAGGCCACTAGGGTTATAGTGGCCCTCAGGTATAACATCTGAATGGCGTTCAGTAACATAAAAGATTCTTTAAAGACAATTAACACAATAAAAGTCAGACTAGCGTCTAACAGTGAGCCGAGAACGAAGCCCACTGTGCTACGACACCTTATAACTTAAGTTCTAAAGGCTTACAACTCAAGCTTTAACCAGAAATATGAGAACTGTCCTACAGAGAGGTTAAGGGAGCTCAACCCAACCACTTCAGAGAAGGACATGATCGCGACATACACAATACCGAGAGCAATATACGTAATATGAGACGACACGCCATTTTCCAACTGAGGAATGACACTAAGAATACAGGGATAGTTTGAAACGTATTAGAGACAAAAAGAGACATTTGGCTCTATATCTCAATATCTCATATGTGTGTACAATAAGTACATTGTACCATCTAATGTGTACAGTAAGTACATTGTACCATCTAATGTGTGTACAATAAGTACATTGTACCATCTAATGTGTACAGTAAGTACATTGTACCATCTAATGTGTGTACAATAAGTACATTGTACCATCTAATGTGTACAGTAAGTACATTGTACCATCTAATGTGTGTACAATAAGTACATTGTACCATCTAATGTGTACAGTAAGTACATTGTACCATCTAATGTGTGTACAATAAGTACATTGTACCATCTAATGTGTGTACAATAAGTACATTGTACCATCTAATGTGTACAGTAAGTACATTGTACCATCTAATGTGTGTACAATAAGTACATTGTACCATCTAATGTGTGTACAATAAGTACATTGTACCATCTAATGTGTACAGTAAGTACATTGTACCATCTAATGTGTGTACAATAAGTACATTGTACCATCTAATGTGTACAGTAAGTACATTGTACCATCTAATGTGTGTACAATAAGTACATTGTACCATCTAATGTGTGTACAATAAGTACATTGTACCATCTAATGTGTACAGTAAGTACATTGTACCATCTAATGTGTGTACAGTAAGTACATTGTACCATCTAATGTGTGTACAGTAAGTACATTGCACCATCTAATGTGTGTACAGTAAGTACATTGTACCATCTAATGTGTACAATAAGTACATTGTACCATCTAATGTGTGTACAGTAAGTACATTGTACCATCTAATGTGTGTACAGTAAGTACATTGCACCATCTAATGTGTGTACAGTAAGTACATTGTACCATCTAATGTGTACAATAAGTACATTGTACCATCTAATGTGTGTACAGTAAGTACATTGTACCATCTAATGTGTGTACAGTAAGTACATTGTACCATCTAATGTGTGTACAATAAGTACATTGCCATATGACATACACTGGCATAAGGTGTACAGTACAGGCACCTCCCTCCTGGCAACAGCACCCAGACACAAGAGGCCAGGAGGCCAGATTCACGAAAGCACTTACGAACCTGAGGCCAGATTCACGAAGCAGTTACGCAAGCACTTACGAACCTGAGGCCAGATTCACGAAGCAGTTACGCAAGCACTTACGAACCTGAGGCCAGATTCACGAAGCAGTTACGCAAGCACTTACGAACCTGAGGCCAGATTCACGAAGCAGTTACGCAAGCACTTACGAACCTGAGGCCAGATTCACGAAGCAGTTACGCAAGCACTTACGAACCTGAGGCCAGATTCACGAAGCAGTTACGCAAGCACTTACGAACCTGAGGCCAGATTCACGAAGCAGTTACGCAAGCACTTACGAACATGTCCATCTTTTCTCAATCTTTGGCGGCTTTGTTTACAATTATTAAACAGTTAATGAGCCCCGAAGCACCAGGAGGCTGTTTATAACAATGACAACAGTTGATTGGCAAGTTTTCATGCTTGTAAACTGTTTAATAAATGTAACCAAAGCCGTCAAAGATTGAGGAAAGATGTACACGTTCGTAAGTGCTTGCGTAAGTGCTTTCGTGAATCTGGACCCAGGAGGCAGGGCCCAGGAGCTACACCACACTCCCCCACGGACACTGGAGAGTGCCTGGCCAGGGAGCCGTGACATTCGGAGCTGCTGGCCCTTCGCGACACCCTGTTGAACGGTGGGCCGCAGACTCTTCAGCGGACAGGTGTTAGGTGCTGACGTAAGCTGGTGTAACCACAGCTGTGGTTGGTTAGAATGTCTGGATAAGGTGTAACCACTACTGTGGTTAGTTAGGACGTGTCTGGATAAGGTGTAACCACTACTGTGGTTAGTTAGGACGTGTCTGGATAAGGTGTAACCACTACTGTGTTAGTTAGGACGTGTCTGGATAAGGTGTAACCACTACTGTGGTTAGTTAGGACGTGTCTGGATAAGGTGTAACCACTACTGTGGTTAGTTAGGACGTGTCTGGATAAGGTGTAACCTCTACTGTGTTAGTTAGTGTCTGGATAAGGTGTAACCTCTACTGTGGTTAGAACGTGTCTGGATAAGCTGGTATAACCAATATACTGTAGTCTACCTCTAGATAAATACCATTTTTAAGCAAAACAAACTTCCCATTTTCAACAACTGTGTGCAGTTCCTCCGAAGAAAACGGAGTCAGTCGAAACATTAACTATTGTATTCTCCAATCAGCATAGTATTTTGTCTCTATGGTTTAATTGAATTTACCTGACGAAAACCTCTCAAGTGGTCTCCATGGGGACAAGAAGCCGGCGACTAGTCAAAGGTGGCCCCATTTCTACTGAAGAATGTTTCAAATTTAAATTGAAGTATTGAGATTGATAGCTTCGGCGGGTAGGCGGTTCCACGGGTTTCATAATTTTTATGTTAAGAGTCGGGTCCGTTCTCGACTTATGATCGAGAATTCCAGGTTCGAATCCCAGAGGGGGGGGGGACAGAAATGGTTGGGGGGGCGTTCCCTATCCCCTAATGCCTCTGTCCACCTAATAATAGATTAATTGATAAAGATTAAGCCACCCAAAAGGTGGCACGGGCATGAATAGCCCCGTAAACCTAATAGTAAATAGTTAACCAGGAATTAGTCGACTTGTCCAGGGGTGGGGGGGGGGGAAGACCTGGATATAAGCCTAACCTATAGCATATATCTAAACTGGCAGCCTGTCCCCAGACACAATAAATTATTATTAGTTTACAACTAATTAATCAAGCATTTGCACCCCATATATTCAACCCGTACTCAGACTCAAGTCCATTCCATCCAGCGGTCGACCCCATAGATAAATTCACCAATTTTAACATGCTGTTCATTCAAAATAGTAATTTTCTCAAATATAAATTAATATAATGATATATTAGCATATTGTGCATATATAGGCATAGGTTAGGTCAGGTGTTTAGGTTCTGTTGGCGAGTATTTGTATTTGTAGTACGTGGGTGAAGCATTTACAGCGTTGTGGTTCGAACACCAGTCGTCAGTGAAACACTTGTTCCGGAAGTGTTCGAACGTCAGCAGTTGTGAGTCGTGTGTAAACCGTTTTTCATTTATAAACCAGCCCGTCCTCCAAACAAAGATCCAAAAGTGATTCCATCCGCCCGCCAAACCCCTTAGCTGTTTATGAATGAAAAGCGGTTTACACACGACTCACAACTGCTGACGTTCGAACACTTCCGGAACAAGTGCTTCACTGACGACTTGTGTTCGAACCACAACGCTGTAAATGCTTCACCCACGTACTACAAATACAAATAATCGCCAACAGAACCTAAACACCTAACCTAACCTATGCCTATATATGCACAATATGCTAATATATAATAATATTAATTTATACTTGAGAAAATTCCCGTTTTGAATGAACAGCATGTTAAAATTTATGAATGCGTCTGTGGGGTCGACCGCTGAATGTAATGGACTTGAGTCGAGGACGGGTTGTATAAACAGCTAAGGGGTTTGGCGGGTGGATGGAATGGACTTTAGCCTTAGTTTATCAGTACGGGCAGATATGCCTGGTTAGGCAATTTGAAAAAACTTCAGAATACGAACAGGATCTGGTACTCTTGAATCCGACAGCAACAGTTTAAATTTAAATTTTAGCAGAACCAACAGGACCTGGTACTCTTGAATCCAACAGCGACAGTTTAAATTCAAATTTTAGCAGAACCAACAGAATCTGGTACTCTTGAATCCAACAGCAACAGTTTAAATTCAAATTTGAATAAAGCCGTTGACTATTTTCGTTATGAACGACACAGGAACATAGAGAAAACGGCTCTTGGACTAGTATTAATAGGCTATTATAATTTTCCCCATTCATTACCTCACTGTTAAACCTTACCACCCTTCTTGTTATCCCCTACAACACGACCCGTCGGGCGGTTTACAACCAGGCACCAGGTTACTGGGGGAGGAGCCTCACCTGTTCGTTCCTGCACCTCTTCTTGGCCCGAAACTTCTCATCACGCCACAACACCTGTAACACAACACACCTGTCACTGTTGACAGCAGGGGGGGGGGTATACAAGACACACCTGTCACTGTTGACAGCAGGGGGGGGGGTATACACAACACACCTGTCACTGTTGACAGCAGGGGGGATGGTATACAACACACACCTGTCACTGTTGACAGCAGGGGGGGTATACAACACACACCAGTCACTGTTGACAGCAGGAGAGGGGGAGGTACAACACACACCTGTCACTGTTGACAGCAGGGGGGGGGGTATACAACACACACCTGTCACTGTTGACAGCAGGAGAGGGGGGGGTACAACACACACCTGTCACTGTTGACAGCAGGGGGGGGGTATACAAGACACACCTGTCACTGTTGACAGCAGGGGGGGGGGTATACAACACACACCTGTCACTGTTGACAGCAGGGGGGGGGGTATACAACACACACCTGTCACTGTTGACAGCAGGGGAGGGGGAGGTACAACACACACCTGTCACTGTTGACAGCAGGGGGGTATACAACACACACCTGTCACTGTTGACAGCAGGGGAGGGGGAGGTACAACACACACCTGTCACTGTTGACAGCAGGGGGGTATATAGCACACACCTGTCACTGTTGACAGCAGGGGGGGGTGGTATACAACACACACCTGTCACTGTTGACAGCAGGGGGGGGTGGTATACAACACACACCTGTCACTGTTGACAGCAGGGGGGGGGTGGTATACAACACACACCTGTCACTGTTGACAGCAGGGGGGGGGTATACAACACACACCTGTCACTGTTGACAGCAGGGGGGTGGTATACAACACACACCTGTCACTGTTGACAGCAGGGGGGGTTATATACAACACACACCTGTCACTGTTGACAGCAGGGGGGGGTGGTATACAACACACACCTGTCACTGTTGACAGCAGGGGGGTGGTATACAACACACACCTGTCACTGTTGACAGCAGGGGGGGGGGTATACAACACACACCTGTCACTGTTGACAGCAGGGGGGTGGTATACAACACACACCTGTCACTGTTGACAGCAGGGGGGGGGGTGTACAACACACACCTGTCACTGTTGACAGCAGGGGGGTGGTATACAACACACACCTGTCACTGTTGACAACAGGAGGGGGGGTGGTATACAACACACACCTGTCACTGTTGACAGCAGGGGGGGGGGTGGTATACAACACACACCTGTCACTGTTGACAGCAGGGGGGGGGGGTGGTATACAACACACACCTGTCACTGTTGACAGCAGGGGGGGGTATACAACACACACCTGTCACTGTTGACAGCAGGGGGTGGTATACAACACACACCTGTCACTGTTGGCAGCAGGGGGGGGCATACAACACACACCTGTCACTGTTGACAGCAGGGGGGGGGTATACAACACACACCTGTCACTGTTGACAGCAGGGGGGGGGGGTGGTATACAACACACACCTGTCACTGTTGACAGCAGGGGGGTGGTATACAACACACACCTGTCACTGTTGACAGCAGGGTGGGGGTATACAACACACACCTGTCACTGTTGACAGCAGGGGGGGGGGGTGGTATACAACACACACCTGTCACTGTTGACAGCAGGGGGATGGTATACAACACACACCTGTCACTGTTGACAGCAGGGGGGGTATACAACACACACCTGTCACTGTTGACAGCAGGAGAGGGGGAGGTACACAACACACACCTGTCACTGTTGACAGCAGGGGGGGGGTATACAACACACACCTGTCACTGTTGACAGCAGGAGAGGGGGAGGTACAACACACACCTGTCACTGTTGACAGCAGGGGGGGGGGGGTATACAACACACACCTGTCACTGTTGACAGCAGGAGGGGGGGTACGAGACACACCTGTCACTGTTGACAGCAGGGGGGGGGAGGTATACAACACACACCTGTCACTGTTGACAGCAGGGGGGGGGAGGTACAACACACACCTGTCACTGTTGACAGCAGGGGGGTATACAACACACACCTGTCACTGTTGACAGCAGGGGAGGGGGAGGTACAACACACACCTGTCACTGTTGACAGCAGGGGGGTATACAACACACACCTGTCACTGTTGACAGCAGGGGGGGGTGGTATACAACACACACCTGTCACTGTTGACAGCAGGGGGGGGTGGTATACAACACACACCTGTCACTGTTGACAGCAGGGGGGGGGTGGTATACAACACACACCTGTCACTGTTGACAGCAGGGGGGGGGTATACAACACACACCTGTCACTGTTGACAGCAGGGGGGTGGTATACAACACACACCTGTCACTGTTGACAGCAGGGGGGGTTATATACAACACACACCTGTCACTGTTGACAGCAGGGGGGGGTGGTATACAACACACACCTGTCACTGTTGACAGCAGGGGGGTGGTATACAACACACACCTGTCACTGTTGACAGCAGGGGGGGGGTATACAACACACACCTGTCACTGTTGACAGCAGGGGGGTGGTATACAACACACACCTGTCACTGTTGACAGCAGGGGGGGGGTGTACAACACACACCTGTCACTGTTGACAGCAGGGGGGTGGTATACAACACACACCTGTCACTGTTGACAACAGGAGGGGGGGTGGTATACAACACACACCTGTCACTGTTGACAGCAGGGGGGGGGTGGTATACAACACACACCTGTCACTGTTGACAGCAGGGGGGGGGGTGGTATACAACACACACCTGTCACTGTTGACAGCAGGGGGGGGTATACAACACACACCTGTCACTGTTGACAGCAGGGGGTGGTATACAACACACACCTGTCACTGTTGGCAGCAGGGGGGGGCATACAACACACACCTGTCACTGTTGACAGCAGGGGGGTATACAACACACACCTGTCACTGTTGACAGCAGGGGGGGTGGTATACAACACACACCTGTCACTGTTGACAGCAGGGGGGTGGTATACAACACACACCTGTCACTGTTGACAGCAGAGTGGGGGTATACAACACACACCTGTCACTGTTGACAGCAGGGGGGGGGGGGGTGGTATACAACACACACCTGTCACTGTTGACAGCAGGGGAGGTATACAACACACACCTGTCAATGTTGACAGCAGAGGGGGGGTATACAACACACACCTGTCATTGTTGACAGCAGGGGGGGTGGTATACAACACACACCTGTCACTGTTGACAGCAGGGGGGGGGGGGTATACAACTCACACATGTCACTGTTGACAGCAGGGGAGGTATACAACACACACACCTGTCACTGTTGACAGCAGGGGGGGGGGTATACAACACACACCTGTCACTGTTGACAGCAGGGGGGGTGGTATACAACACACACCTGTCACTGTTGACAGCAGGGGGGGGGGTATACAACACACACCTGTCACTGTTGACAGCAGGGGGGGTGGTATACAACACACACCTGTCACTGTTGACAGCAGGGGGGGGGGTGGTATACAACACACACACCTGTCACTGTTGACAGCAGGGGGGGTATACAACACACACCTGTCAATGTTGACAGCAGAGGGGGGGTATACAACACACACCTGTCATTGTTGACAGCAGGGGGGGTATACAACACACACCTGTCACTGTTGACAGCAGGGGGGATGGTATACAACACACACCTGTCACTGTTGACAGCAGGGGGGGTATACAACACACGCCTGTCACTGTTGACAGCAGGGGGGGTATACAACACACACCTGTCACTGTTGACAGCAGGGGGGATGGTATACAACACACACCTGTCACTGTTGACAGCAGGTGGGGTATACAACACACACCTGTCACTGTTGACAGCAGGGGGGATGGTATACAACACACACCTGTCACTGTTGACAGCAGGGGGGATGGTATACAACACACACCTGTCACTGTTGACAGCAGGGGGGGGGGTATACAACACACGCCTGTCACTGTTGACAGCAGGGGGGATGGTATACAACACACACCTGTCACTGTTGACAGCAGGGGGGGGTATACAACACACACCTGTCACTGTTGACAGCAGGGGGTGGTATACAACACACACCTGTCACTGTTGACAGCAGGGGGGGTATACAACACACACCTGTCACTGTTGACAGCAGGGGGGGTATACAACACACACCTGTCACTGTTGACAGCAGGGGGATGGTATACAACACACACCTGTCACTGTTGACAGCAGGGGGGGTATACAACACACGCCTGTCACTGTTGACAGCAGGGGGGGTATACAACACACACCTGTCACTGTTGACAGCAGGGTGGTATACAACACACACCTGTCACTGTTGACAGCAGGGGGGGTATACAACACACACATGTCACTGTTGACAGCAGGGGGGGGTGGTATACAACACACACCTGTCACTGTTGACTGCAGGGGGGGTATACAACACACACCTGTCACTGTTGACAGCAGGGGGCGTATACAACACACACCTGTCACTGTTGACAGCAGGGGGGGTATACAACACACACCTGTCACTGTTGACAGCAGGGGGGGTATACAACACACACCTGTCACTGTTGACAGCAGGGGGGGGTGGTATACAACACACACCTGTCACTGTTGACAGCAGGGGGGTATACAACACACACCTGTCACTGTTGACAGCAGGAGGGGGGGGTATACAACACACACCTGTCACTGTTGACAGCAGGGGGGGTATACAACACACACCTGTCACTGTTGACAGCAGGGGGGGTATACAACACACACCTGTCACTGTTGACAGCAGGGGGGGTATACAACACACACACATGTCACTGTTGACAGCAGGGGGGTGGTATACAACACACACCTGTCACTGTTGACAGCAGGGGGGGTATACAACACACACCTGTCACTGTTGACAGCAGGGGGGGTATACAACACACACCTGTCACTGTTGACAGCAGGGGGGGTATACAACACACACACATGTCACTGTTGACAGCAGGGGGGTATACAACACACACCTGTCACTGTTGACAGCAGGGGGGTATACAACACACACCTGTCACTGTTGACAGCAGGGGGGGGGTATACAACACACACCTGTCACTGTTGACAGCAGGGGGGGTATACAACACACACCTGTCACTGTTGACAGCAGGGGGGGGGTGGTATACAACACACACCTGTCACTGTTGACAGCAGGGGGGGGGGTGGTATACAACACACACCTGTCACTGTTGACAGCAGGGGGGGGGTGGTATACAACACACACCTGTCACTGTTGACAGCAGGGGGGTGGTATACAACACACACCTGTCACTGTTGACAGCAGGGGGGGGGTATACAACACACACCTGTCACTGTTGATAGCAGGGGGGTGGTATACAACACACACCTGTCACTGTTGGCAGCAGGGGGGGTATACAACACACACCTGTCACTGTTGACAGCAGGGGGGGTATACAACACACACCTGTCACTGTTGACAGTAGGGGGGGGGGTGGTATACAACACACACCTGTCACTGTTGACAGCAGGGGGGTGGTATACAACACACACCTGTCACTGTTGACAGCAGAGTGGGGGTATACAACACACACCTGTCACTGTTGACAGCAAGGGGGGGGGTGGTATACAACACACACCTGTCACTGTTGACAGCAGGGGGGTGGTGGTATACAACTCACACATGTCACTGTTGACAGCAGGGGGGGGGGGTATACAACACACACCTGTCACTGTTGACAGCAGGGGGGGTATACAACTCACACATGTCACTGTTGACAGCAGGGGAGGTATACAACACACACCTGTCACTGTTGACAGCAGGGGGGGTATACAACACACACCTGTCACTGTTGACAGCAGGGGGGGTATACAACACACACACCTGTCACTGTTGACAGCAAGGGGGGTATACAACACACACCTGTCACTGTTGACAGCAGGGGGGGTATACAACACACACCTGTCACTGTTGACAGCAAGGGGGGTATACAACACACACCTGTCACTGTTGACAGCAGGGGGATGGTATACAACACACACCTGTCACTGTTGACAGCAGGGGGGGGTATACAACACACGCCTGTCACTGTTGACAGCAGGGGGGGGTATACAACACACACCTGTCACTGTTGACAGCAGGGTGGTATACAACACACACCTGTCACTGTTGACAGCAGGGGGGGTATACAACACACACATGTCACTGTTGACAGCAGGAGGGGGGTGGTATACAACACACACCTGTCACTGTTGACAGCAGGGGGGGGGTATACAACACACACCTGTCACTGTTGACAGCAGGGGGCGTATACAACACACACCTGTCACTGTTGACAGCAGGGGGGGTATACAACACACACCTGTCACTGTTGACAGCAGGGGGGGTATACAACACACACCTGTCACTGTTGACAGCAGGGGGGGGGTGGTAAACAACACACACCTGTCACTGTTGACAGCAGGGGGGGTATACAACACACACCTGTCACTGTTGACAGAAGGAGGGGGGTATACAACACACACCTGTCACTGTTGACAGCAGGGGGAGGTGGTATACAACACACACCTGTCACTGTTGACAGCAGGGGGGGGTATACAACACACACCTGTCACTGTTGACAGCAGGGGGGGTATACAACACACACATGTCACTGTTGACAGCAGGGGGGTATACAACACACACCTGTCACTGTTGACAGCAGGGGGGTATACAACACACACCTGTCACTGTTGACAGCAGGGGGGGGGTATACAACACACACACATGTCACTGTTGACAGCAGGAGGGGTGGTATACAACACACACATGTCACTGTTGACAGCAGGGGGGTATACAACACACACCTGTCACTGTTGACAGCAGGGGGGGTATACAACACACACACCTGTCACTGTTGACAGCAGGGGGGGGGGTATACAACACACACCTGTCACTGTTGACAGCAGGGGGGGTATACAACACACACACATGTCACTGTTGACAGCAGGGGGGGGGGTATACAACACACACCTGTCACTGTTGACAGCAGGGGGGTGGTATACAACACACACCTGTCACTGTTGACAGCAGGGGGTGGTATACAACACACACACCTGTCACTGTTGACAGCAGGGGGGTGGTATACAACACACACACCTGTCACTGTTGACAGCAGGGGTGGTATACAACACACACCTGTCACTGTTGACAGCAGGGGGGTGGTATACAACACACACCTGTCACTGTTGACAGCAGGGGTGGTATACAACACACACACCTGTCACTGTTGACAGCAGGGGGGGTATACAACACACACATGTCACTGTTGACAGCAGGGGGGTGGTATACAACACACACACCTGTCACTGTTGACAGCAGGGGGGGTATACAACACACACACCTGTCACTGTTGACAGCAGGGGGGGTATACAACACACACACCTGTCACTGTTGACAGCAGGGGGGGTATACAACACACACACCTGTCACTGTTGACAGCAGGGGGGGGGTATACAACACACACCTGTCACTGTTGACAGCAGGGGGGGGGTATACAACACACACACCTGTCACTGTTGACAGCAGGGGGGGTATACAACACACACACATGTCACTGTTGACAGCAGGGGGGGGGTGGTATACAACACACACCTGTCACTGTTGACAGCAGGGGGGTGGTATACAACACACACACCTGTCACTGTTGACAGCAGGGGGGGGGTGGTATACAACACACACCTGTCACTGTTGACAGCAGGGGGGGTGGTATACAACACACACCTGTCACTGTTGACAGCAGGGGGGGGGGTATACAACACACACCTGTCACTGTTGACAGCAGGGGGGGGGGTATACAACACACACCTGTCACTGTTGACAGCAGGGGGGGGGTATACAACACACACCTGTCACTGTTGACAGCAGGGGGGGGGTATACAACACACACCTGTCACTGTTGACAGCAGGGGGGGTATACAACACACACCTGTCACTGTTGACAGCAGGGGGGGGGTATACAACACACACACATGTCACTGTTGACAGCAGGGGGGGGTATACAACACACACACATGTCACTGTTGACAGCAGGGGGGGGTATACAACACACACCTGTCACTGTTGACAGCAGGGGGGTGGTGGTATACAACACACACCTGTCACTGTTGACAGCAGGGGGGTATACAACACACACCTGTCACTGTTGACAGCAGGGGGGGTATACAACACACACACATGTCACTGTTGACAGCAGGGGGGGGGTATACAACACACACACATGTCACTGTTGACAGCAGGGGGGGGGGTATACAACACACACACATGTCACTGTTGACAGCAGGGGGGGTATACAACACACACATGTCACTGTTGACAGCAGGGGGGGGGGGTATACAACACACACACATGTCACTGTTGACAGCAGGGGGGTGGTGGTATACAACACACACCTGTCACTGTTGACAGCAGGGGGGGGTATACAACACACACACCTGTCACTGTTGACAGCAGGGGGGGGGGTATACAACACACACCTGTAGCTGCCGTCGTGTCCGTGGATACACATTGTGCTGGGAGTTGTAATCTAGGAGGAGCCGGCTCCAGGCGTCCCTGTAGAAGACAACAGTGAACAGTGAACACTCCGGGGACACTGAAGCAGGGACAGTATAAACACTGAGGGACAGTATAAACACTGAGGGACAGTATAAACACTGAAGCAGGGACAGTATAACACTGAGGGACAGTATAAACACTGAGGCAGGGACAGTATAAACACTGAGGGACAGTATAAACACTGAGGGACAGTATAAACACTGAAGCAGGGACAGTATAAACACTGAGGGACAGTATAAACACTGAGGGACAGTATAAACACTGAAGCAGGGACAGTATAACACTGAGGGACAGTATAAACACTGAGGCAGGGACAGTATAAACACTGAGGGGACAGTATAAACACTGAAGCAGGGACAGTATAAACACTGAGGGACAGTATAAACACTGAGGGACAGTATAAACACTGAAGCAGGGACAGTATAACACTGAGGGACAGTATAAACACTGAGGCAGGGACAGTATAAACACTGAGGGGACAGTATAAACACTGAAGCAGGGACAGTATAAACACTGAGGGACAGTATAAACACTGAAGCAGGGACAGTATAAACACTGAGGGACAGTATAAACACTGAAGCAGGGACAATATAACACTGAGGGACAGTATAAACACTGAGGGACAGTATAAACACTGAGGGACAGTATAAACACTGAGGGACAGTATAAACACTGAGGCAGGGACAGTATAACACTGAGGGACAGTATAAACACTGAGGGACAGTATAAACACTGAGGCAGGGACAGTATAAACACTGAGGGACAGTATAAACACTGAGGGACAGTATAAACACTGAAGCAGGGACAGTATAACACTGAGGGACAGTATAAACACTGAGGGACAGTATAAACACTGAGGGACAGTATAAACACTGAAGCAGGGACAGTATAACACTGAGGGACAGTATAAACATTGAGGCAGGGACAGTACAAACACTGAGGGACAGTATAAACACTGAGGGACAGTATAAACACTGAGGCAGGGACAGTATAAACACTGAGGGACAGTATAAACACTGAGGCAGGGACAGTATAAACACTGAAGCAGGGACAGTATAAACACTGAGGCAGGGACAGTATAAACACTGAGGCAGGGACAGTATATATAATGAAGCAGGGACAGTATAACACTGAGGGACAGTATAAACACTGATGCAGGGACAGTATAAACACTGAGGGACAGTATAACACTGAGGCACAGTATAAACACTGAAGCAGGGACAGTATAACACTGAGGGAGGGATAGTATAAACACTGAGGCAGGGACAGTATAAACACTGAGGCAGGGACAGTATAAACACTGAGGCAGGGACAGTATAACACTGAGGCACAGTATAAACACTGAAGAAGGGACAGTATAACACTGACGGAGGGACAGTATAAACACTGAAGCAGGCACTGTATAAACACTGAGGCAGGGACAGTATAAACACTGAGGGACAGTATAAACACTGAAGCAGGGACAGTATAAACACTGAGGCAGGGACAGTATAAACACTGAGGGACAGTATAAACACTGAGGCAGGGACAGTATAAACACTGAGGGACAGTATAAACACTGAGGCAGGGACAGTATAAACACTGAGGGACAGTATAAACACTGAGGCAGGGACAGTATAAACACTGAGGCAGGGACAGTATAACACTGAGGCACAGTATAAACACTGAAGCAGGGACAGTATAACACTGAGGGAGGGACAGTATAAACACTGAAGCAGGCACTATATAAACACTGAGGCAGGGACAGTATAAACACTGAGGCAGGGACAGTATAAACACTGAGGCAGGGACAGTATAAACACTGAGGCAGGGACAGTATAAACACTGAGGCAGGGACAGTATAAACACTGAAGCAGGGACAGTATAACACTGAGGCAGGGACAGTATAAACACTGAAGCAGGGACAGTATAAACACTGAGGCCGGGACAGTATAAACACTGAGGCAGGGACAGTATAAACACTGAGGCAGGGACAGTATAACACTGAGGGACAGTATAAACATTGAGGCAGGGACAGTATAAACACTGAAGCAGGGACAGTATAACACTGAGGGACAGTATAAACACTGAGGCAGGGACAGTATAAACACTGAGGGACAGTATAAACACTGAGGCAGGGACAGTATTAACACTGAAGCAGGGACAGTATAAACACTGAAGCAGGGACAGTATAAACACTGAGGCAGGGACATTATAAACACTGAGGCAGGGACAGTATAAACACTGAGGCAGGGACAGTATAAACACTGAAGCAGGGACAGTATAAACACTGAGGCAGGGAGAGTATAAACACTGAGGCAGGGACAGTATAAACACTGAGGCAGGGACAGTATAAACACTGAAGCAGGGACAGTATAAACACTGAGGCAGGGAGAGTATAAACACTGAGGCAGGGACAGTATAAACACTGAGGGACAGTATAAACACTGAGGCAGGGACAGTACAAACACTGAGGCAGGGACAGTATAACACTGAGGGACAGTATAACACTGAGGGACAGTATAAACACTGACGCAGGGACAGTATAAACACTGAGGGACAGTATAAACACTGAGGCAGGGACAGTATAAACACTGAGGGACAGTATAAACACTGAGGGACAGTATAAACACTGAGGGACAGTATAAACTCTGAGGCAGGGACAGTATGAACACTGAGGGACAGTATAAACACTGAGGGACAGTATAAACACTGAGGGACAGTATAAACACTGAGGGACAGTATAAACACTGAGGGACAGTATAAACACTGAGGCAGGGACAGTATAAACACTGAGGGACAGTATAAACACTGAGGCAGGGACAGTATAAACACTGAGGCAGGGACAGTATAAACACTGAGGGACAGTATAAACACTGAGGGACAGTATAAACACTGAGGCAGGGACAGTATAAACACTGAGGGACAGTATAAACACTGAGGCAGGGACAGTATAAACACTGAAGCAGGGACAGTATAAACACTGAGGGACAGTATAAACACTGAAGCAGGGACAGTATAAACACTGAGGCAGGGACAGTATAAACACTGAAGCAGGGACAGTATAAACACTGAGGGACAGTATAAACACTGAAGCAGGGACAGTATAAACACTGAGGCAGGGAAAGTATAAACACTGAAGCAGGGACAGTATAAACACTGAAGCAGGGACAGTATAAACACTGAGGCAGGGACAGTATAAACACTGAGGCAGGGACAGTATAAACACTGAGGGACAGTATAAACACTGAGGGACAGTATAAACACTGAAGCAGGGACAGTATAAACACTGAAGCAGGGACAGTATAAACACTGAAGCAGGGACAGTATAAACACTGAGGCAGGGACAGTATAAACACTGAGGCAGGGACAGTATAAACACTGAAGCAGGGACAGTATAAACACTGAAGCAGGGACAGTATAAACACTGAGGCAGGGACAGTATAAACACTGAGGGACAGTATAAACACTGAAGCAGGGACAGTATAACACTGAGGGACAGTATAAACACTGAGGGACAGTATAAACACTGAGGCAGGGACAGTATAAACACTGAGGGACAGTATAAACACTGAGGGACAGTATAAACACTGAGGGACAGTATAAACACTGAAGCAAGGACAGTATAAACACTGAGGCAGGGACAGTATAAACACTGAGGCAGGGACAGTATAACACTGAGGGACTGTATAAACACTGAGGGACAGTATAAACACTGAGGCAGGGACAGTATAAACACTGAAGCAGGGACAGTATAAACACTGAAGCAGGGACAGTATAAACACTGAGGCAGGGACAGTATAAACACTGAGGCAGGGACAGTATAAACACTGAGGCAGGGACAGTATAAACACTGAGGCAGGGACAGTATAAACACTGAGGGACAGTATAAACACTGAGGGACAGTATAAACACTGAGGGACAGTATAAACACTGAAGCAGGGACAGTATAACACTGAGGGGCAGTATAAACACTGAGGCAGGGACAGTATAACACTGAGGGACAGTATAAACACTGAAGCAGGGACAGTATAAACACTGAGGGACAGTATAAACACTGAAGCAGGGACAGTATAAACACTGAGGGACAGTATAAACACTGAGGCAGGGACAGTATAAACACTGAGGCAGGGACAGTATAAACACTGAGGCAGGGACAGTATAAACACTGAGGCAGGGACAGTATAAACACTGAGGGACAGTATAAACACTGAGGGACAGTATAAACACTGAGGGACAGTATAAACACTGAGGCAGGGACAGTTTAACACTGAGTCAGGGACAGTATAAACACTGAAGCAGGGACAGTATAAACACTGAGGCAGGGACAGTATAAACACTGAAGCAGGGACAGTATAAACACTGAAGAAGGGACAGTATAAACACTGAGGCAGGGACAGTATAAACACTGAGGGACAGTATAAACACTGAGGCAGGGACAGTATAAACACTGAGGGACAGTATAAACACTGAGGGACAGTATAACACTGAGGGACAGTATAAACACTGAGGCAGGGACAGTATAACACTGAGGGACAGTATAAACACTGAGGCAGGGACAGTATAAACACTGAAGCAGGGACAGTATAAACACTGAGGCAGGGACAGTATAAACACTGAGGCAGGGACAGTATAAACACTGAGGCAGGGACAGTATAAACACTGAGGCAGGGACAGTATAAACACTGAGGCAGGGACAGTATAAACACTGAGGCAGGGACAGTATAAACACTGAGGCAGGGACAGTATAAACACTGAGGCAGGGACAGTATAAACACTGAGGCAGGGACAGTATAAACACTGAGGCAGGGACAGTATAAACACTGAGGCAGGGACAGTATAACACTGAGGGACAGTATAAACACTGAAGCAGGGACAGTATAAATACTGAAGCAGGGACAGTATAAACACTGAAGCAGGGACAGTATAAACACTGAGGCAGGGACAGTATAACACTGAGGGACAGTATAAACACTGAAGCAGGGACAGTAAAAACACTGAAGCAGGGACAGTATAAACACTGAAGCAGGGACAGTATAAACACTGAAGCAGGGACAGTATAACACTGAGGGACAGTATAAACACTGAAGCAGGGACAGTATAAACACTGAGGCAGGGACAGTATAAACACTGAGGCAGGGACAGTATAAACACTGAGGCAGGGACAGTATAAACACTGAGGCAGGGACAGTATAAACACTGAGGCAGGGACAGTATAAACACTGAGGCAGGGACAGTATAAACACTGAGGCAGGGACAGTATAAACACTGAGGCAGGGACAGTATAAACACTTAGGCAGGGACAGTATAAACACTGAGGCAGGGACAGTATAAACACTGAGGCAGGGACAGTATAAACACTGAGGCAGGGACAGTATAAACACTGAGGCAGGGACAGTATAAACACTGAGGCAGGGACAGTATAACACTGAGGGACAGTATAAACACTGAAGCAGGGACAGTATAACACTGAGGGACAGTATAACACTGAGGGACAGTATAAACACTGAGGCAGGGACAGTATAACACTGAGGGACAGTATAACACTGAAGCAGGGTACCTGACAGTGTCAACAGAGGCGCCCTTATCGTTGATGAGAGCGGCGTAGTGACCAAATACAGAGTAGAACACCTCCTTCTCGTACTTCGTAAAGTTACGAGACCTGTGTCGCTTGCGTAGACCACCTTCCCGGTCCTCCCCGGGCTCCATCTACCTCTACCACCCGCTCTACCACAGTCTACCACACGTCAAGCCCCGCCACCAGTCGCAAAACTGCGACTGGGTTTAGGAGTCTGCCCGCGTCGCAAGTCCCTTG